GCTAAAGTTGAGGTAGACAATATCCAACTTCTCTCCCCATATCTATCCAGGTTGGTCAAACATGATTTACCTTTAATAAATTCATGCTGACGACTCCTGATCACCTTCTTGTCTTCCATGTGGATAGAGATAGTCTCCAGAATGAGGCGCTCCATCAGCTTTCCAGGGACTGAGGTGAGGCTGAATCGCTGGTAGTTTCCTGGGTCCTACTTCTTGCCCTTTTTCAAGATCAGGGTGACATTTGCTTTCTTCGAGTCCTCAGGCACCTTTCCTGATCTCTGTGACCTTTCAAAGATGATCATGAGCTGCCTTGCTGTGGTATCCTCCAGCTCTCTCAGCACTTGTAGATGCATCCTGTCAGGGCCCATGGACTTGTGGATGTCACCTCTGCCTAGGTGTTCCTCCTTGACCAAGGGGAAGTCTTTCTTACGATATTCCTTTACCCTGCCTGGTCTTGTGGGTCTGTTGTAGTTTAGTTAAATGGGAAGGTTTTCAGTGATGAATATCTCATACCACCACGTAATTTCAGAGTGTAGGGACTGCCCCCATCCAAGCTGGACTGGGAGAAGACTGTCCCGGGGGTCTTAGAAGTGGAGTATCCCAGGAACTCGGGAGATAAAAGTCAGGTGCAGGCCAGAATTGCGCTTTTGGTACTGAGTTTTGCCCGCTGGAGGACCATGGACTCTTGGAGTCTTTCCCAGAGCACTCAACCATTCATCCACTATCCAACCAAGCTCAAACTCAGGGGAACCACTATAGTGCTGCTTTTTGGAGCACTTTTGAAGCTGTTTCGCAATAGCTTGGGAACCACTACCATTCAGCGAGAGAATTCCCTTCTCCAGAGTCACCACCATCTCATCCACAGCTGTTTCGCTCTCTCATCTGTGCAAAGTGCCACTGGCCCCAGCACTACGCTGGGTCACCCCTGCCACCTACACACCCACGTGGTTGCTATGCCAGAACCCACACCAGCACCTCAGCAGCATAAGACTTTTTTGAATGAAATATCCTTCCATATTTTATCTTAACCTGGGGGAAGGGGGAGCTAAGTAATATTTTCTGCTATTTTTGTTTTGTTTATTTCATTCCCTATTTAGTGAAATTGTTATTTTCCCATCTTCATTTGCACTTTCCATAATTTTTTACCTTATTTATACTGAAGGGAGGGAAATAATAAAAAAGGAGGGTTCATCTCACCTTCCAAATATATTGTTACTAAACCAAGACGGGGTTAAAGGTTTCCGAGGGCTGGTGCTGTCAGTGAAGACCAATGCAAAGAAGGCATTCAATAACTCTGCCTTCTCTGCATCCTGTTTTCACTATAACTTTTGTTTTTCTGAGCAATATGACCTCTAAAGCAGAGACCTTCACAAGTGAAGTATCATTCTTTTAACCTGTGGGAACCTGTCCTGACAGAAACACTAATTTGCTTTTCAGGGGTTGCAAGGAATATGCATTTTCTGCTTTTAGATTCATAATGAAGTGCTTTCTCTAGGGTGTTGAATTTTTTTTTTTTCCAGGGAGATGCTATTTGCAATTTTTAACGAATATTGCTTGCCTTGTATATTTGTGACAGGAGAGTGTTTCTTCCCTATAGATGGCATGTGACCTTTCCTTTGGATACAATAGCACCATTTTCTTCAGGGGATACATGTGCACTTCAGGGGATAAATGATGCCTGGGCTGCTGCAAGCAGGAAGTGTTTTATTGAATTGCAAGAGCAGTCTTGATATGACTGCAATAAACTTGCGAAAGGGTAGAGAAGTAAAGGAAAATTTATTAGTTAATCCTCTAATTCCAGTATTGGTCTGTCAGTAGCTAGTTTAAGCCATTTACAGGACCCATGAGGGACTTTAGATCAGTTGATCTGATAAGCAGTTCTAGTTTTTTAGCCTTTTGAAGAACTCAGTTCCAGTAATCATCCCTTTCTTCCCCATTTCCTTCTCTCCCTGAAGGTCATCACATTCCAGTTTCCTAGATGAAAGGATGTTACCAGAATCATTGCACAACTCCTATGCAAGAACAGTTGGCTGGGTGGTGTCTAATCTGGCCTTTTCTTTTTTTTCCCATGGTCTTAAAACTGAAGCTGTATACTGCCAAAAAAGCCAACTTCTGGAGAAGTGCTCCAGTCCTGGAAATTTTTCTAGGCCTACAGTTGAGCAGATCTGGACTGAGCTCTGAGCTTCAGAAGATGCTTGGGCTGAGAAGGGATTTCGAATGCTCCAGCACTGTCTGGGTACAAGTGAGATTAGCAGCTGCTGTCTCCAGGCACTGCTTGGTTTGTCTTTGTGGTCCCAGAAAACATGGTAGAACTGTAGTAGCAGTTAACAGCCTGCCACACTAGTGTGTACCGGTGGGGCTGAACCAGCAAATGTTAGCAGAGCTGAACACTGGGTATATGCCTGTTGCATAATATTGCAAACCCTGTGCAATTAGCATGTGGCATCACTCTTCGAGTGCTGTATTTTATATTGGAATGGGAGACTAAATATGCTGAAGTGCAGAGAAGAGTAGTTGCACGGAATGCATGGATGCAGGGAGAAAGGCAATCAGGACAAGGAACCTGTGCTCAATTCTTGTTTGATTCCTGGTGGTTTGCTTCACCAGAACTACAGTTCTCTTCAGATGGTTAATGACATGTGGTGGGTAGTGAGAAGACATCACTGAATAAATTTTCAAGTTCTCAGTAATATTACAGTGAAAAGTTTTTAGAGAAGTAATAATTTAATTAAATTGCCTGATGGTTCTAAAGTGAAGTAAAATCTTGCAGACTTTTGAGACCCACAAAGCTGAAGAAGGCAAGCGTTTTCCAAATCTGTCAGTTGCTGTAATACGTGATTACATCTCTGTACAGAACTGAAAGACTTGGGCATGAAACTTGTTTACATCTCAAAGCACTCTTCAATCTATAAGGACAAATCTAGAATCATAGCCTCTTTTTATTGGAAGGAGTTTAGGGAAGACTGTGAAGTGGTTGCCAACTACAAATTAAGATTGCTCTTTAATCTTTAGTCTGGAAGGCTCCCAACAGCATAGAAAAGGGTGTGAATGTGTAGAGGGGAAAACCATAAAGGTGATGAAGTTCCTTCTGCTTAAAGCACTGTAAACCATGCTTTATGGGAACTTGGAGAAAATGTATGTATGGCAAAAGCTGCATTCCTTGTCATGGGAGAAGGGCTGGTTATACATCACTTACCTGAAATGACAGAAATTGGTGCATTTCTGTGTAGGAGATGTGTGAATGCAGCTTTCTCAGAAGGTACCAAAGTAGCTTTTTTCTGCATGTAGTTTGCTGTGGACACTTGTCTATTTATTGATTGCCTCAGTATTAGAAATGCAAGTAGTGGCTTTTGGCCCACTATTTTTAGTATCTTGCAGTAGGCCTGTTTCTTCTAATTTGGTTGGGTTGTTTGGGGTTTTTTTCAACTTCATTTTGTAGTCTGAGGTATTCAAAATAACCAAATAATTGGTCTGAAAACATAAGAGAAAGATGAGTCTCCAGTAGAAGATCTGATCTTATGTGAACCAATTAAAAATTTAGTTTCATAAGCTCAAGATGCCTTTGTGCTTTACTGAAATCTTACTGCTTTTTGGGGAAGAGGAATTAAGCTTCTTGCAGAAGCTCTGGGGGGAGACAAGATTAAGAAATAATACTCTTAATGGGAAATAAGAGATACCTTAAATGGCAGTCAATGCTGTTAAGAATACCATCTCCTACCCACTAATGATAGGCCAAGTTTTGCAAACTTAACAGGTTTCATCCTTTTTTTTCTTCTGCTATGCCTTTGATGGGATTTTGCCTTTGATTGCCTGGTTGTGGGTGGAATGCCTGATACTCTTGGCAACAAATACTATATAAGTTCTTAAAATTACATTTGTTCTGGCCTGGAGCAGAGCTGTGTGGGTGTTGGATGTTTCTTTGAGACCTGACGTTCCTTTTAGTTAATCACCTTATGTTATCTACAACTTTGAAGGAAGATGATTAATATCTAGCAGCTGATTTCACTATGTGGATTAGATCCCCACTGCTGTACATTTAATGGTTTGGTATATGAATCACCCGTCTGGACAGGGCACTGTTTGGATAATTGGTTATACAGAAATATATTCTGTAGACAAGTAATTATAAGTGTTACTTATTATAGTCTCATCAGTGCCACAGTGCTTAATCTCTTAAGCACATTAGAGTATTAATTGATCAGAAATGCATTATGATCTGCTTAGGTGAGATGATACAAACCTTTCTCTGGGTAAAACAGAAATGTAGTTAGAATTTAATTAAATGATGAACAGGTTGTTCTACGCATATCTGAACAACTGGAATATTTCAATTACACTGTCTAATGTCCTGTGACAAATGTCAAAAAAATCCATACAGAATTTGTTGAATACATGATAAATTGACTGCTGCCAGTTATGTGAAGTGAGCTGGATTATCAGAAGTAATTGGTTTAATTTAAACCCAGCTCATTTTAAGTGAAAAAGGTTAGGGAGCAGCCACGTGATCAGTTCAGCAAGGAGATCTAAAGAGGAAAGTAGTAATTTACATTAATACAGGCAAGCAGGATAAAATGTGGGGAATAGCCCCAGCTGATTAAATAGGTTTCCATTAATTATTCAAAGTGTAAGCAAACTCTTCTTCAAGATGCACTTACTAGTGAATTCTGAGAAAATTTTGAATCTTGTTTAGAAGCAGGTAACTGCCTTGTTTTGCCAGGTACCTCTTGATTTAAAACCTGATATGGAAAACTAGGGAATGCTTGGGCTTGATGGTTGTGCCTGTTCTAGTCCATTCAGCTATAGAATTGTCAGAAAATGCGTGATCAATCTTGATTACATGAGGGAGAAGAAACTTCAAATTCCGATTTGCATTTATATGTAATGTTTCCATAAACACAGGTGGCACATTCGTATTTTGTACTTTAGCTGGAGTTCTTGTGTTGCAGTTATGCGCGTGACTTTCGACAATTGAGCTCAGTCTTACCTTAATTTATTTTTAGGGAGAGCACGTGTGCAGCAACTAGCAGAGAACACAAGATATTTCAGGAGACGACTGAAAGAGATGGGCTTTATCATCTATGGAAATGAAGATTCCCCTGTTGTGCCTCTGATGCTGTACATGCCAGCAAAAATTGGGTAGGTTTTTACCGACCATCTGGTGCTTTACTAGCTCAGTTAGGCTTCAGTCTGGCTAAGCACTGTGGTTCTGTGACAGCAAAAGCATCATCTAGCACTCTGCATGAAGGCAGATAAAGACTTTCTCCATCCTTCTCAGTGTAACAAAGTTTGAAACCTTTACAGGCCTTGCCGGTCTGCAGTGTGCACCATCCAGCACACAAAGGCATGCTGTTTCCACTGCCCAGCTGCTCTACCAGTCAGTACAATCTTCTCCGTGGAAATGTTGATTAGCTGAGCAGTTGGACCAGTAACTTACTTGAAATAAGCAAGGACAAAGAGCCCTGACAAGAGCTGGCCCTTAGGATCTGCATCGAGTTTACTTGATCCTTTCTTTGTCCCTTGTAGTTTGTTTTTACAGTAGTTTGAGAGTACTAAATGGCTACAAAATTAAGTGTATCAGGATGCACCTATTTGTAAGGAAAATACTTGTGGCAGAAAATTTAAAAACCTAGTAAAAGAATGTTATTTTTATACATTCTTTTAAGCCTCTTAAGTTCATTGCTACTTCTCACAAGGTCAGTTCAAAACGGATTAACCATTTCCTGTGGCCTGTAGAAACACCCACAATTGCACTGCCATTGCAGAAAGGATCAAGATCTTTGTGCCTCTCATAGCATAACTCACAACCACTTCTTTCTTTAATCTTTTTAAGAACTTATTTTATTGAAGATAGTGTGTGACAGTTGTATGAGATTTTTGCACCTTTCTTTGAAATATTTGGTATCAGATGATTCCACAGTTTACTGTGGTGATCCAATGGTTCCCGTGACAGGCTCTTAAAAACTGGTACATTCTATGACACAATAATGTACTTTAATGAAGTTCAATTGGTGATAACAAAACATCTTGAAACTGAAGAAACAACCGCTTTGGGGCATTGCAGCCTGAGGGATTCCTTATATAGTCAAACTTCTGAGCTAAAATCCCTGTTTCCTATCAGAAAGATTTCCAAGCTTAAGTTACAAATCCATTTAGAAACAGCCTGCTATAAGACCAGTCTCTGCCACATATAATCTTTCAGCTTTGTTGGAACTTAATACAGTGAAACCTTTTAAGAAGGACCACCTCTTGGGATTGAATTAAAAAAAGGCTTTTGTGAGCAGGCATTCTGCCTCCAAAAGAAAGCACCGGAAGGTCCAAATTGTGTTGTTACAGGCTTGCTTCAGCAAAGGCCTGTGTGCATTAACACACTGAGACTGCTCCAGCTTTGCCACCAGTGGAATAATTGCAACAACCTTGTTCTCTCTGACAGTGCGTTTGGACGTGAGATGCTGAAGCGGAACATCGGTGTTGTGGTTGTGGGCTTCCCAGCCACTCCCATCATCGAGTCCAGAGCCAGATTCTGCTTGTCTGCAGCTCATACCAAAGAGATGCTTGATACAGTAAGTGTCTCGTCTTCCTTTTGCCCATGCCTGCTATAAACAGATACAACAACTGTTTTTTGTGCACTGGTTCAATGTTTGGTACACAAACTAGTTGAACCTAATCTTCGAAATCTCTTGTAGTAGAACTGGCAATGACTCCATCTGTCTTTCCTTGCTTCAACAGTACAGAATGGCTGCCTACAGTAAATCTCAGGGCTTTTCTTTTCCTATTTTAAATTATGTGAAGGTGACAGTCTCATTCCTGTGAGACAATACTTCTTCCCCTCTTAAGAGGCACTGAACCTTTCAGACAGAAGTAGTTCTGCTTTTTCTGACCCTAGATGCAAATGGTATGAAGAAAAAAAATAAAAAAAGCCTGAGAACCTCCAAAACATTTATATTCTCCTCAAAAGGAACACATGATTACTAGTGAAAATTTTTATTCCAAAAATTACTCCAGTTCTTCTTTACAGCTTCTGAGCACTTTATCTTAAATAATCCTGTTCTAATGAGTCTGTGCCACATGCAATGCCTTACTGACTTCTGCCTGAGTAAGCATGTTCCAGAGGGAATGAAGGTCCTCTCTGAGGAGGCATGAATCACAGTTAGGAAATGCTGCCTTAAAAAGTAGGGATAGCAGTTATTCTCTGACTAATAGAGTTGAAAAAGGATTATACAAATAAGCTTGACTATTCTTAGTGTGTTTTGGAGTGGTAGCTACATTCACTTTTAAGTCTTCTGAATAATCTTCTTTGATGAACATGGCATGTCTTAGCCACTGTCAAAATTCTGCATGGCATTTGTTCCCCACTTTGAGGGGAAACCTCAGAACCTAAACTAGGTTGAGTCATGAACTTGGACTCCATGAGAGTAGACCCTGTCCTGTTTAGAGACCTACTTGAAAGAACCCCATAGGATACAGCCTCAAAGAGAGGAGGTGTCCAGGACAGTTAATTGATTTTTCTTCCTCCCTTCTCCCCTGAGGAATGATCCATCCTGACTTACAGGAGAGTGAATGTGGCGGGAAGCCTGCATGGATCAACAAACCAACAAAAACATATAATGGATGCATATAAGAAAGAGGTGCAAGCAGGAATAGGTGACCAAGAAGGAATAGAAACACAGTTCTGAGTACACAGGGATTGGGGTCAGGAAAGCCAAAGCCCACCTGGAACTCAGTCCATCAAAGGACATGAAATGCAGGAGCAGGGCTTTTATGGGGATATTAGTAGCAAAAGGAAGAGTAGAGAAAATGTGGGAGACTGCTGCTGAATTGCACAGGGAATCAGGTGACAAATGACATGCAAGAGATGAGGGTACTTAGTGCCTTTGTTGTCACAATCTACTTGTGAGGCTTGACTCAGGAATCCTGGGACCATAAAATCAGTAGAAAAGTATGGAGCAATGAAGACTTACCTTTAGTGTGAAGGAGGCTCCAATAAGGGAATATTTAAACAAACTGAACATGCACAAGTCCATGGGAACTGATGGGGTGCACCCACAAGTGTTGAGGGAGTTGACTGTCACTGCAAGGCGACTCTTGATTATTGTCTTTGGAGGGAGGTCATGGTGACTGGGGGAGGTTCTGGAGGATTGGAAGACAGCAAATGTCACCACCCTCTTGAAGAAGGGCAAAAAGTATGATCTGAGGAACTGCAGGTTAAGTGGCCTCACCTTGATCTTGAGAAGATTGTGGAGAAAAAGATCCTTGAAAGTATTTTCGAACATTTTGTGGACCAGAAGGTGATTGGGAATACTCATCATGGAGTTAGAGAGGGGAAATATGCCCAAATATGATCAGGTAGGTAACACTTCAATATATGAACAGCAAATGGGACATATAAACAAATATTTACTAATGTCTTGTCACAAAAATATGGATTCAACCTTTTCACACTTCACTGCTGCAGAACTTCCAAATCAACAGCTTAAAATGGCATGCTTTTTGTATTTCATTTTTGTTATGACAATGAGTAAGGCAGTGAGTGGTGTGTGCAGTTTGGTAATATATGTTTAGTGTCATTGAATAGTATTGAGCAACCTGTCATGTATCTCTAGTGCTGTATTTGCTGCTACTCAGTTGTTTCTGCCTTATAAGACCTGAGAGATTCTCTAACATGACACTCCAACAACAGACTGCTTAAGGACTTCCTTCCCAGTCCTGCTGCTCTTCCCTTAGTTATCAAAATCAGTTGTTTCTGTTCCAAATAAAAATTTTGAACCAGTATGTTTGGAGAAGGCTCTCTCCTTCTCTTCCTTTCACTCTATATAAAATGAGTAGTATCAGAGATTTGGCTCAGAGCATGGTAACAGAACTGAGTTTATTGACACAAATGAGGGAGCTGTAACTTCTGGACAGGTGGACATGGAGTGGGGATGAATGTGTAAGATGTGGGAGGAAGGAAAAGAAAAAAACCTGAAGTCTCTGAAATCATATTTCTGCAAACTGAGCTAAAATTGAAACTCTACAGGCTTGATACGCTGGCACTACCCAGGCAATCGTGCAATCTTGCTGTTGGTTAGGTTCTTGGTCTTCTCTTTTAGTGACTAGCTGGAGCCTTTACTGTAACAAGCTGCTTTTGTAGGATCTGTATAAATACCGTACTTGCTCTGTTCCAAAACCTATCTGTAACTTTTATGACTCTACTTAAAAAAACTCCTGTCAATTCACTTACAAATCTGTCTGCATTTTCCAGAAAATATTGTAAGTTTTGTGCTTTTAAAATAAGATTCATTCCAAGAGTACCCCTGTAAGTGTTAAATCCTCTAAACTGAGGAAATGCTTGTTCAATATATTGGAGTTTGTCTACCCAAGAAAATTAATCCAGAGCAAAATGAGGTGTGAATTTTGAAGTGAATGAAGAAATCCTGATTTAGCTCAGTATGTGCAGGCTTTGTTCCAAGTTAGTGTAACCCACTTTAAGGTTTGAAATAGCTGCATGCTTTGAACCCAGAACATTGGTGAGAGGAGTTAATAAGGAGCAAGTCTTCATGTCAGTGAATTTGTGTTGTGTTTTCTTATGAGGCAGTGAAAAGGGATTGATTTCAGGCAGCTTATCATTTAGGCAGCTCTCAGATCTAATCCCTCTGCCGAACTGTGGCAACAGTATCCAGGAGGAGGAAGAACTAAAGTGAATGGACTTGGGGAGAGCTGACAGCTTCTTCAACTCAGCAGAGAGGACAACTTGGTAGCCCATCTGTGTATGTGTGGGTGCTAATTAGAGCTCTTACGGCATTTTTTCTAAACAAAATTTATCTGAGTTTGAAGCATAGGGAAGAGAAGCTTGTCTTGCAAATGCTGATATTTGTTATACTTCCTTGTTCTTATTAATTAAACCCACATGATGGGAAACAGTTCTTAGTTACAATTTTAACTGTTTTATGTAAATAAAACTTCCTTGCCCGAAAATATTTGGCCTAGGATCAGAGTGAAGTCCCTCATAACCTGCATCCCTGTGGGCTGGTGCTTTCTTTTCAATGATGGAAAATATATTACACTCTCCTAAAGTCAGAATACACCAATGCCATTTCCTTTGTAGTCTTTGCTGGTCACATGGCCCTTTTTGTTTTAAATTAATAAAATCCTAAATCTGCATTCAAGAATAACAGTTAACATAGTCTTTCAACAGAAATTCAGCTTTAAATTGCTTCCATATGAGATCTTTACTTAAAACTCTGGCAGACTGTGCCCACACTTTTGTTTTGTTTTGTTTTTACCGAGGTCCAACTTCTGGGTTTGTCGTTCCCCCAGATTTTAGAGTGGAGAGGTTTTTGCTGCCAGATATAACAAGCATGAAGGACCATTGTTTAAAGAAACAAAAACTTGAACTATCCATCCAAAAAGGAAAAAGCATGTAGGGATATTAACCCCTGTCTGCCAACTGTCCTCAAGCGACAAGCATTTGACCCAGAACATGTTGAAACTGGAGCAATAATGTTGAATTAGTGACATTCTGAAGGAATGCTGGGTGTACCTATCTTAATAAATTTACAGTTCAAGGGAGTGAAGGATGCCAACCTTTGAATTCAAAAATCACATTGGGCTTGAAAGTAATTCTTCTGATCTCATTTCTTTGTCACTTGCCTATGTAAAATAGTTAGCATGACAGACTTGCAGATTTGTCTGCAGCAACTTATTTATTTTGTACCTTGCTCCAGGAGTGTTCTGTAGAGAAATGAAGCTTAGGGTTTGGCGTTTAACAGACCCTATTGTGAACCAGTGTCTTATCAAAGAGATTGCAACATAATGGAAGCATGATTAGCTGAGCTCTGACGCCGGCAGATGTTTGATCTCTGGTAAACTTCATAACATTTGAATTCAGGTCAAAATGGCAAAAGGTTGTACAAATTCACTAGCAGTGTTCTGGGCCATCAGTAGCCTGAGTGTGGCCTTTGTGGCAACCTCTGTCAGTGAGATTTGCTTTCTAGGGAGAAAATGCTTGGGGTCCTACCCAGAATAACTGTGGGTTTTTTCATTCCTTGATTGTCTGGCCAAATCTCCCATGCCACGTTGTTTATGGTACAGAGCTTGCATCACTAGTTGTATAGGGACAATGCAAATTAACCAAATGTAAATTTAACAAATGCATCTATAGAACTTGTTAGCTTGCTATTGCAGTTTGCCTTTTGCTTATCTTGCAATTTAAAAATACAGTAGATCAGAGGTGGTATGCTAACACATATGTTGTTTTCATACTGAATGATGAATGAGTCAAACCTCCATGTACATTTTTTTCTGCTTCAGCTTCATTACCTCCAGGAAGGGAGGAATATTATTCTCGTTTTTGCTGTTTATGAATAGTCATGGGGTTTGCTGGATGTTATGATCCTTCTTTGGAAGGGGAGTAGTCAGGTGGCTGCATAGGCACTCTCAGTTAAGTGACCAGTGCTGTTGACTTTGTCTCAAAACTTCTGAATGCTAAAATCAAAAAGAAATCCTATGCACTTCTGAGGGTACTGGCTTCTAGCACAGTAAAGTCTGAAGTGAAATGGCTGTCAGAGTAGTCTGCAGACATGCAAACAGGAGGTTGTGTTGATGACTTACTTGTATCTGTCTCCTCTGCTGATCTACTGTGGTCTCTTTGTCAGGCTTTAAAAGAAATCAATGAAGTTGGGGACCTTTTGCAACTGAAATATTCCCGTCGCCGTTTGGTACCTCTCTTGGACCGGCCGTTTGACGAGACAACGTATGAAGAAACAGAAGACTGAAGTCCCTCCACGTGCCTCGGTGGGAGGGACACAGCCCATGGGACACTCCGTGGCACACAGGCCACAGCATCTGTGAACAACACACTTCTGACTGCTTAGCATAAAAGACATTTCCTCACAATACTGAAGTGGCCACATCAGCTCTAAATGGCATTTTGTAAATAGGGAGAGGATTTAAAAAAAAAGCTTTGATTCCTGTGTCTTCAGGGTCTGCCCTAGAGGTGCTTGGCTTTATTTTTTCTTGTTGCTTTTTTTTATTTATTTGTCTCAATGAATTCACAGCGACTCAAGTTGGCTGTGGCTGATCAGTTCAGACTTTGTATGCACCATTAGCCTCCCAAATGCTGGCTGAGATGTTGTAAGCATGTGTGATGCTGGCATGGCAGCATTTCCAGTGTCACTGCTAGGTGTCTGATCTTCCCAGGAAGGAATGAGCTGACCTGTCTGTTCTTGGAGACTTTCTAGAGAAACTGTTGATTGCTAACTTGGACATATTTAACAAGATAAATAATCAACCAAAGTTTTTTTTTTTTTTTTTTCATTTGCAGTTACTTCTGTTTAAAACTTGAATTTAGCCTTTTTAAAATAAATGTGTTGTTGACATGTCACTGACAGGACCATTGTTCCCAAACATTATTTAGTTTTGTAAGCCACAGGCAGAAGGACTTCTGGAACTCTAGGCTCTTTTTCTTCCCCGTATGGATACCAGATTGCCTCCTGGTTTTGACACTAATTGTCCCCTTGATATGGGGTAAGTGATGGAGAGGGGTTTTGTTTGGGTTGTTTTGGGTTTTTTTAATAGGTTGTGTTTTGTCTTCTGACATACTTCTGTTTAAAAAAAAGAAAAATGTGGATTTAGTGTGTGTTGCTTTCTCATCTTCAGGTTAATTTCTCTTTCTTTATAATTATTTTAAAATCGTGAACAAGTCACTGCTAAGTTCTAGAAGGGTGCTCTGGGTTAGCTACACCAGAACAATCCTCAAGCTTCTTCTTAAGACTAAAACTCCTCAATAAGCAGGTCTATACAATGAGTGACTGTTAGGAGAACCACTTATTTCATGCAGATCTGTGAAACTGTGATCTGTTTTTTGTCATATATGAGGTGTTCTTCACTGGCCTTGTTGCTTATATGGACAGCTTGGATCTTGTAATTACCCTTCAGCCAGCCAGCAAAGTCTCTGCTGGCAGCTGCATGTCTGTGTAGGCCTTCCCTGAAGAGAGAATGTCCTTGTAATTGCATTTAGTTGGATATCTTTATTCTTTTGTGTTTCTGTTACTGATCAACACTGATTAAGTCAGTGTTCACTGAGCCAGTTGCTGTTTGGAATTTTTATTTGCATGTTTCATACTGTCCCTATGTTTAAAATAGACACCTTTGCTCTAACACACCTTAGAGGAGGTCTGCTACTTAGTTTGTGCATCTTGAATTCTTTCAATGAACAGAATGGATCAACAAAGAGGTACCAAAAATTTTAAACAGGAGTCAGTTGCAATATAGCTTGTTTCTGTATTTTATACACAGACATGTAGGATTCCTGCAAAGATAGTAAAACATTAACGTTGTGTCAGTTGGATTGGGCCAGCTCTTCAGTCTTGGTTAGCAAAATGATTTTTGCAGGTGACTGGGGTTTTCTAAAACAGATTCTTCATCGTAAAGCTCTTTGCATGGTGCTGCAAAAAAAAAAAAAAATTAGTTTTTTTAAAGTTCTTTTATGTTCCCTCTGCAACTAACAGGAAAGGAGTGCTTTGACCACAAGAACCAAACAGTTCTGCAAGTACATCCAGTGATTTAAAGAAGAATTGGTTTCTATTTATAGAATATATTAATGGATCTATAGGTCCTGTTCCATTTTAATGTAGTGGAACTTCAAAACACTGATTCATTTTTTTACCATTGAATTTCAGAAATTTAATTATATGAGAAGAACTGAAATTGACAGTTTGAAAATAGGTCCAGATAACTATTTCTGCTTTCGTCCATTAATGTTGATTTGCTCTTCTTCTGGAGCCAAGTGTGTACACAGTCCGAGAAGTCTGTATGTGCAACTTTGATAGCTATGAAGTAGTCTCATTTGTTCAGCCACAGAGTGAATAAACTGCAGTTAGCTGAGCTTACTTTCTCACCTGCACTCTGCCCAGGACTTGCGCTAACATTCCAGCAGATCACCTGCTTTCTGACTTCAAGAAGCTTTACCTCAAAGAATTATTGCCTTTTTTTTTTTTTCTCCTTTGGACTGTAGTAGGGAACAAGAGGAGGTTAGCACAGGAAGCCCTGACTTCAGCCCTGATCCTATTAACTGGATCATGGAATGGTTTAAGAGCAGACAAAACTGACCGCCTTGAAGCTTGGGTCAGTAGGTAGCTGTTTTGAGCATTCACAAATGTACAGTGTGTTTGCTGTGTAGTCAAGTCAATTCGAAAACTGTGATATATCAAGTTAGAAGTGGGTTATCATAGATTCTACAAGTCTCGAGTTCTAATCTTGTCTCTGGGATTCAGTTTTAGAACAGCTTGTCTTTAGAAGGGACAAAAGCATCTGGACAAATCTTATTAATGTAGACCACTGTGTAATACTTCTGAAATTGTCAGTGTTTAAAAATTACTGGTGTCCATTTGGATTCCAGTTGTACTTTTTGAGGAAATTGTGTTCAAGCTTCTGCCTTTTAGTATCTTTCTGCTGTGTCATGCTGTCTGCATACGACTTTGAATTTTGCGTTGCAAAGACATTTCAGAAATCATTCAGGCAGTTAGCATTTCAAACTGCTTGGTTACATTTCATCCTTGCTGTGTCCTTTTTGGGAAGCAACTCCCCCCTGGAGGCCTTCTATTCAAGGGAACCTGTTTTGCCAAAATTTGGTACCTATTGAAACTGCTTCTGAAAAAGTAAGAAATTACAAGTCCAAGATTTTGCACGTTTAAGTCAGTAATTCACTGAACATGAAAGCCAGGAAAATCTTTCTGCATCTACTAAACAAACTCCTCTCCCACAGTGGAAGAAGCAGACTAGTACTGGTTTGTGCTAGGCAAACCTACAGCGTGTATGCTGTCACTGTATGTATAAGATGGATTGCTGCTTTGATACTTGTACTGTACTGACCAGAAATCTGTCCCCTTTTTCTCCTGGCACTAGAAGTGAATGAAAGAACCAATCTTGAGAGATCACAAAGGATGAAAAACTGTTTAAGAAATAAGACTTCAGTCCCTGCCAACTTTCAGAGACATTCTAATTGAAAATGACTTGTGGTATTTCTTAAGAGATGCAAAATTCAAAAGAAAATGAAGGCTGCTTTTGAACAAAGAATTTTGCCCTGTACCATATATTGGCTAAACTTACTCATAAATATACAATAGTTACCTTCCCAGTACCTCTCTGAAGAACTTAGCAAGCAAGTTTTTGCCTGTGGTGAACAGAGTGAAGAGTTTAGAACCATAACTGTTTTCGAGGCTAATGGCCATATTTTTTCACTTGTGAGAAAATTGAGAAGCTCCTATTACTGAGCATCAGCAAAGAGTGAGAGATGCGCTTCTCATTAGAAACTGGCCTTCCCAAGTAGACCTTTGTCTTAAGGAACCTGATTCATAGTTTTTCTGTAGTTGTTCAGCAAAGAAGAAACGCAAGTTTTTTGTGTCAAAATAACCAGGGCTTGCTTTTTTGTTTTTTTACATGACACAAACTTTTGTATAGTGTGTGTATGTATGTGGTATATTTAACTCTTTAGTTTCTATATATTTTCCCTTCTAAGTAGCATCCTTAATGAGCTGTTCTGGTTCTTGAGTTACTGGTGTGGCACTCTTATGCTTTAGGCCGACTCAGGAGTGAGTTGACCAAACATCTTACTGTGCCGAAGTCATTCAGCGAAGGGATTGCATCCCCCCATCCTACTCTTGCTGTTTCCTCCAAGAGTGCAGCTGCACATGTACACAGAGCAGGCAAGGGAAGCGTGCCCATAAAATCAGTGACTGTCTGCTGTGTGGATGAAGGACCAATACAGCAGAGGTGGAGAAAAGGGGTAGTCAATCATCACTTACTCTCAGCTATACATGGATCTTTCATGTGTACTTGAACAAGTATGCCTAAAACAGGAATGCAGCTTTCAGTGCCTAAAGGGACACTCCTCTAAAATTTCTCCACACCAAGTAAATCCTTCCTCTCCTTCTGTACAAATTTTAATTTCTTTACGTCTGAAAAGCATTTGGCTTACAGCTGTTTGCTTGTTCAGAAGCTGTGTTATCCGTTCAGAGGGATCATAGGAGAGGCTGGAGGAAAGCATGAGCATGACTCTTCACATAAGAGAACACTTTGCAGCATTGGATCTGGAGCACAATGCATGAGCCCCGTTGCTGCATTACAGAGAAAGAAACTTGTGGAGATGTATCCCACTATACAATGCTCAGTCAGAATTTATACAGTTTCTATATATTATTTTTACAGTTTATATGCAGCCTATGAAAGTGTCAGGCATGGTCTGTGTGGGTGGCACCTTCTGCATGGAGACCTGAGATATCTGCAGTCTGTTCTGTTTTAGCACTAGTGAAATACTGAGCTGTTTGGGAATGCTTAGTGATCTCTCAGTGGGTGCATAGCTGGCTTTGGTGCTGAATCTGGCACCCAAGTGGCATTGGACCACTGTTTGGGAAAAGCAACAGTCATTTGACCCATGTAACTTGAACATGGTTTTAAAAGAAACAAAAAATAAAAGAACAACTCATATGCCATTGTGATGGCTTTGTATTCTTGTAAACATCCCCAGCCTTGCAGTTGTCCACCTGTTCAAGGATTTGGACTTAAAGCTAGAGCACAAACATGAAGTGTTTGTGTGAAGTATTCTGCTATATCTTTCACTAAAAAGAGAACCATTTGGTGCAGACATTGGAGCTGTTGTGTTTATATCCCCAAAAGGGGCCGGGTGAAGGAGATGTCAACTGTGGTGTGTGTTGAAGGCCTTAAGCTGTGACTCTTGGTATGAAGAATTGAAATTAAAACTGACCTTGAAGAATGCAGTGAATTTTATCCCATGGAAGAATACTCTGTGCTCTTAGTTAAAGCAATATGTACTGCTGTTTTCTTGGGAGGGAGAGGTTCAGAACTCAATTTGTTGTGTGACCCTGGCTAGGAGCTGTTTAAGGAGATGTCTGTATGTGGGACCCAAAAGTAGTGCAGTTCTCTGCACCAATGTTCCTATGTAGCTTATCTAGTTCCTGTGTAGTTCCATTGGTAACTTGTTCCTTGGCTGCTGAAAGCGGGAGACTTACTGAGAGGGTCAGGGACTTCAGAAGCAGTGGCAGCTAGCAAATTCATTTCCTCAACAGGAGGTAAACAGGTCTCACATGAATATGCCAAGGGTTGGTGCTGTTCCAAAAATACCCATGGCAAGGTGAAACATGCACCAAACCATCTGACCTCTGGAAAGCATTTCATTTTTTTTTGCCAAAACTCATCCTGTTCAGACAGTATTTCTGATACCCCTTAATGGTATGTTAAGCCTAATGCATCTCCAGCCTCCCAATATTGTTAATTTCAGATCCATTTGAGAGAGGACAGAGGAATGCTGGAGCCTGAGGCTTTAGGTTAGCAGCCCTAAAGCCAATGGTGGCCCACATTTCCACAAGCCCTGGGCAGAATTACCAAGTCACAGCACTTCGTCTTAAATTGCACTGTATTCTTATGCCTCTGTGTTGCTATAATGTACATATATATTGGATTTTTTTGTAGATAAGACATTTTAGATAAAATTTTTAAATGGGCTCCCCCCCAAATATTTTATGCCAGATGTCTAATTTTTTTTACACTTGTGATTAACATAAATTTGGATGCTCTGTGGGCAGAGAAAAAGATAAACGGATGGTGCATTGGCTTTAGAAAGGTAACAATGCATGTTTAAAAAAAACACTGGAGAAAAAAACTGCTTGGGAAAAAAATTCATTCAAATATATTCTATGTTCTGCATAATAAAGACTTTAAAAAAATGCTATATTGTGGGGTTTGCCTTTTTTTCTTAATGCTAATGAGGCTTTTTCCCTATTAGGGAGACCAAACCCTTTTCCTCTTCCTTTCCAATCCCTCTTCCACTCACGCCTCAAAAAAACCTAACACACAAGTTTCATACTGAAATGACTGTGTAAAACCAGAGCCTGTTTGTTTGCTCAGATTAGTGTTCCCCTCTAGCCATGTACTCCAGAGCTAGGAAATCTTGCATGCGAGATGGATGCTTAGCTGTTTTCTGGCGGGCTTAGGTCCCTTGTACAGCAATAAGCTTGATGTGCAATCTAGAAAAGCTGCTTCTGTTGCGGAGAGACTCTGCAGTTCCTGACGTGCAGCACTCCCGCGAGTGAGTGCCCGCCAGAGCTCAGTCCCTGCCACGGAAAGCTGGTTGTGCTCGAAAGCCAGGCTGCTACCCTTGGGTGCTGTTACAGTGTCAGGCTGCTCTCAGCTGTCATGCTGCTAATGAGATGTTTGAAAGGGCTTCTTGATCCATCTCGCATGGGATTCTTGACCTCACATCTGTCTTGCAGTCTGTGTCTTGTTTTAAACATTTCCTTCCATTCGTCTCGGCCCTAAGTCTGCATAAACCAGATGTCGGTACTTGAAAAGGAGGTGCAGGTCCTGATTTTTAACTGTGGCTACAGAAATGGGCCCAGGTGATTTGCAACTTTGTGTTTAGGCTGCTGTAGAAGTGTTGTTTTTTCTGTTCGAGGTGTCCCTTTCTGGGACACTGCCAGCACTAGCACTTTTCCTCAGCAGGCTGCAAAACCTCCTTTCAGCGTCTTTCACTACTAAGTTTTTCCTAATCCTTTCCCTAGTAATTTCCTTCACAGGCTCATGAACGCCTGTGGAGATCCCGGAATAGATACTCTAGACCCAAAGTAAACAGCCACTCCATGTTTCCAACAGGTTTTGAGGGTTAGATAAGATGCTGCCAGCGTAGAAGAGAGCAGATCAAGGAATAAAAACTTATTTTGAATGGTGGAAACTTCCTCCCGCAGCTCGGGAACAGCCGGAGCTTTCACTGGGGAGCACAGGGCCCCGTTTCTGCCGGTCGCGGGCCGGCCCAGGAGCGGGGGGGGCTCGTCCCCGCTCTCCCGCGGAGCGGCTCCGGCGCTCAGAGAAGAGGAGGCGGCGGCCTTTGCAAGCTCTTCTCCGCGGGGGCGCGGCGGGAGGGTCCGAGCCCCTGATGCGCTGCGCCCCCCGCCCGGCCGCGGCCCCGCTCCTGCCCCTCCGTGCCGGGCGCCTCCATCCTCCCGCCTGGCGCGGCCGGGCCGGAGCCGGCGGGCCCCGCGGCCGCCCCGCCCCGCCGGGAGAGCGCTGCGGCGGGGCGGCCCCGGCGGGAAGCGCCCGGTGGTGCCGCGGGGCTTGAGCGAGGCCGGCGCCGCCGAGGCGCGGAACAAAGAGCCCCGGGCCGGGCCGGCCCCGCCGCAGGGGCAGCGCCCCGCGGGCACCGCCGGGCGGAGGGGGCGGCGGCCGCTCGGGCCATGCAGCTGCCGGGAGGGGAGGAGCGGAGCGGGCGGCGGCGCCCCGGAGGGGGCAGCGCCCGGAGGGAGAGGGGGGAGGTCTGGCAGTGCCGGCAGCCTCCGAGCAGGGCAGGGGCGCGGCGGGGCCGTGCCCGGGGCCGGCAGCGGCAGCTATCGCCCAGGCGGGGCTGGACCGCTCTTCGTGCGAGCAGGAGCCTCTCCCCGGCGAGCGGCCTCCCGCCCGCCCTCCGGTGCCCAGCGTTGCCTGCAGAGCTGCGGCAGCACCGGCGACTGACTCGGCGGGGGGAGGAGAAGAGGAGGAAAAGAAATCGGATTGCCGAAAGGATTAGGAAGCGGGGTGGGGAGGCGAAGCTCTCTCCTCCCGTCCCTCCCCGCACACACTTGTGAAGCTATTCAGAGTTATCCTTCAGCATCAGTGGCGAGCGAGCCCGGGGGAGCCGCGACCGCGAAAGGCGCTCGGCAAACTGCAAGAGCGATCAGAGGGAGGGGAGCGGCCCGGGACGCCCGACCCTGCCCCGGCCCCTGTCCTTGCCCGTGGGGCACCGCACTTCCCGGCTCCGGTGTTCTATATATTACTCTCTTTTTTTAAGATTTCCCTGCTCCTCTCGCTTTTTTGGAGAAGGACAGGATTTGGAGCATTGCGGGTGGGCGTGCTGCCGGACCGCGTGCCCTGAACGTGCGGGGAGAGAGGGAGGGAGAGATGCCTCTGATTAGAGGGAAAGTCGTGCTCATCCTGAGCTTCGTCTTCCTGACAACTTTCGCGGCTGTGGTGAGAGGACTACCCGTGAGGAAACAGCGCAGCAGCAGCCCGAAGGAGAGGAGCTCCAAGCTGGCAGAGGTAAGGCAACCTTTGGGGAAGTATGGAGAGCCGGGAGGGTGCTGAGGAGACTCCTTCCGCAGCCTCTGCACCCCCTCACGTGCCAGGAAGGCTGCGGAGCCAGCGGGCCACCTGAGTGGTCACCGGGGCTCCCTCGGAGGCGCTTGTGCGTCTCGGATGGGAGCAGCATCCAACACGTGTCCCGCGGCCCGGCCGCCCGCAGCTCCCGGGAGAGAAGCAGCAGCGGGGAGGAGTGTTGGGGCCCCCCCCTCTTACGGGCCGTTTCTTCACCCGTTGAGGGGCAGAGCAGTTTCCCGGCCTGCGGGATTTTGGGGCAGCCTCAGGTCTTCGCAGTGCACAGAGGCTGAAGGAAAGGGGCTGCTTTAGGCTTTCTGAGATCGGGGCCCAGTGTCGTGACCCGGTGCCCGGGAAGATCCGTTGCCTCCAGCACCCAACATCCCAGGTGGGAGAGAGGGGTTAAATTAACGCGGTTGGTGCCATGCCAGGAACTCCGAATCGCCTCTACCATAAACATAAGACATGACGGATTTTAGCCACCATCTCTCCTCCGCGCCGAGACGCCCCTGGGGCAGGTTCCGGAGCGGCCATGCTCCTTTCTAATCCCGGCAGCCTGCGCCCCTGCAGTGTCCCCCGGGGCAGGCGGCCTGGGGAGCCTCCCGGCCGGGAAGGGGGGATGTCCCGGGGCTGCGCCTTGCGCTCCTCGCAGTGCCTGATCTGGCCAGCGCCGGCTGCCGAGCGCGGACTGTGCAAGGGAAAACTTTAACAGGCAGTGAGAGACCGGTCAGACTGGGACAACTGATGGGATCTGATGGGATTTACAGGAGGGAAATAGGAAAGAAACAAAAGGAGAGCAGAGAGAAGGGTTTGAATAAGAAAGATAATTGGATGGTTGAAACAAGCTGTTTCCATCTTGAAACTGTTCTCAGGCGAAAAAATAGTTCGGGTAGCACAGCTGTGTTTAAAAAGTAGTCTTTCGAAGAATGCTACTGCTAAAAGTAGGTGAAGGGAATAATTGAGAAAAGTGACTATAGGAGGAGGCTGAGCAGGACAGGGTAAGAGCAGCTCAGCCCTCACTGGCGATAGGCAGCAGTGTGGGAAGCAGCAGATTTGATCTGCAATGTCAATCAGACTGGCAGAGGAGGTGTGAAGTGGTGGGAATATACCTTATTCCTAGTTAGTGCTGAAACAGGACGCTGATCTGTGCAAGGAGTCGCGCTGGCAGCTCCTGTGAGATGCACTAAACCCCATTCCAGCATGAAATCCAAGGAACAAGTGCGAGGAGCTAATCTGCCGCATGGAAAGCCTGGCCAGTAGACAAGAGATGGCACTGCCTGTGTCCAGCCAGGTACCGCTAGTCAAGTCTGGTAATGGTTTTGAGTGGAGCATGGACTGGGCAGATGCAAAGAGGACTGCTGGGGATGTTATGTGCTGTGCTTTGCTAGTGAAACTTTGAGCACAGACCTAGATGGTGCTTCAGTTGCCGGAGAAATGCCAGGCAGAGTGACCTCGGGCTCTGGCTGCAGGAGTATCGATTTACACTTGAAATCCAGGAAAGTGCTGCAGCCCTGTGGCAGGGTGCAAGGATAGGGACAGTCTGTATGTTAGGAAGTTATGCATGTGCCTACCGCGGGACCCTGCAGTGCAGCCTTCAGGCTCCTTTTTATCTGACATCTAAAATACATGGGAGAGGGGAGCGGGCTGCTGTCAGTCCCGGTTTGTGAATGGTTGTGAATGGGGAGCGTTGTGCGGCCAGCCAAAGATCACACACGGCACTTACACAGCGCAGCCTCTGTCCCCAGGACCTTTGCTTCTTGCAGAAGTACAAACATACAAGAAGTTTATAGGCAAAGGTTTGAGGGTGGAGGTTAGAAGCAAGGAGGAAGTTGAAAAATTAATTCCTGTGGGAGCCTGTTGGTGCTCCTGTGCACGCCCTTCATCCCTCAGAGTACTGTCTGCACAGTTCTCACGGCAGGGAGAAAGCATCCGAAGACATATGTCTCTTCTAGCTGTGTTTTGAGATGAAATCCTCTGTTTCCAGTGCATGTCGGGGAGAATTTAGAGTAGTCATGCTCAGCTGTTTGAACTAAAGCAGAGAGCACAAGCACAGCAGTATGGTGGTTAAAAAAAAAAAATCCAGAGTGATTTTGGGTCATACACACAGATGGTTCCTGTTGCAGCACTGATACGTCCTGTCTCTATGGCAGCAGGGTAGCCACAGCTGGAGTATTGGTTACACTATGGGTAATGCCCTACAGATGTGGGTAGAATGAAGGGGGCTGTGAGGAGAAAAATAGAAATGACAGAGAAGAGCAGATAGACAATCAAAACCATTAAACAGTTATATAACTTGGACTTATTTTAACAACTTCGTTTAAAGCAAACATTTTTCCTTGGTTTAGAATTGAATGGAAATTGTTATAATCTGTCCTGAGCCTCAGAGTTGCACTTCTATACTAATATAATTTAGAAAAATTAAACCAAGTTTTTCAGTAAATTTTTGAGTTAGAAACTCTTCTAATTGCAGGAAGGATGGAGGGAACACATGCTTTATTTTTGGGTGATAACCTTATTAGTATGTCCCAAAGTCCTGTGCCTCAGTCAGGATCCATTACCAAAGGAGCAGGAAAATGTCCATGTTCTCAGCTGTGACACTGGGCAAAAAAGCTTTGCCTGAGTTACACTGTTCTCAGCATAAACAACAAATATAGTGAGAATATTTGCTGTTGCTTCAGTCTGACTGGAAGTTGAAAAGGCAGAATGAAGAAGTTGAAAGGCAGTTTTCTTTCCAAACTGTGACTTAAATCTAATGAGAGAAGGTATGTGCTCCTTTGGAGGCTTTTTGGTGGTATTTGGGAAGGCAAGTGGGCTCCAAAGCAGCAAGCAGGTGTACAGCAGGGTTTTTAGAAGTGCTTTTGCAGATTCATACTTTGATGTGGGCAGAAATGTGGCAGGACAGAGCACTGACCAGCAAGTGGCTCTTCAGATTTGGGTAACTGAATAGTTCGAAAAACTTGCGTCCCTTTTGGAGACAAGGTACAGCTCATCACGTCACTTGATCGTTTATTTATTTATGAAGTCAGGAGGTTTAAATGCAAAATATGTTTTGATAAACTCACTAGATTTCAAAATATTGTCTTTGAACATAGTTAATAGACGTTTGAATTATTTCCAACTGATACCGGTTGATTCTGGTGCTGTTCTGGTAAATAGAAAACAGCTAGAGTCCTAACATGCTAGAAATGTAAATGTTAGAAGTGATTAGATCTGTGTGAACCGACACCCCAGCTGTGCATAGAAATAAAAGTGCCGGTGGGAACGGTGATGGGGGTGTTGGGAGTGAGGGCTGTGACAGGGCAGCCAGAAATGTATCATGGAGGGTCCAAGCTCTCAATCGAGCTCTGGTGGGCTTGATGTGTGCTCTTCAGTAGGAGGGAACTGCTCTGAGAGAGGGGTCCAAGAGCAACGACAGCAAGCTCTCCAAGGCACCTGGGGTGTTACTGCTGGGCTGGGACAGGGGCAGGAGGCAAATCCAGGCTGAGCTTGCTGTTGGAGTTCCCCTGGTCTGAGGCTGTGAGCAAAGCAAATACGGCATCTGCGATAAGACATAACGGAAGGCAGCAAAAGAAATACCAAGCACAACATAAAGGCTGAATTGGCTGCAAATCAGTGGGTTTGTACAGCACCTGATATGATGGCTTCAGGCCCCTGAGAAACAAGGAAACAAGTGACAACGTTATGTGTTATTTACTGGTTAAATCAAGCAGTAAGAGTAGTGATGGGAAACTACATATAAAAATGAAGATCTACACCTGATTAAAAATTGGTAGCAGTCTTGATTTAAATTAACCTGCCTTGTGCATAAGGGCTTGTGAGTGCTGAGGAGTGCTTAAGAATTAAATGTACAGAAGTCACACAATGCCTGGCTGGAGATAACAGCAAAGGGAGAGTGAAGGAGCTTCAAGGTGACATGGCATGGCTGTACTAGATAAAACAGTGTTAAAGGGAAAGAAATATCATCTAGGCTTGCGTGGAGTTTGCCAGGAGACTGTAAGCAGAAGTAGCCCTGTCATTGGGATCCATAACACAGCCTAGACACGTTGGTCTGGGAACACCACTGCAGTGATGGGCTGCACAGGCACAGAGGGCTGTGAGAGCCTGCCCTGTGCCTCCCCCCAGCTCTTGCTCCTTCTTGACTCTTCTAGGGCTGTCTGGCCAAAAAGAGGATCTCACTTTCCCAGAGCCATCTCGCCCTGCTGAGGATCTCCAGTTTGTGTTGTCACCCAGGTCTGCCCTGTGAGGAGCATCTTGTCGTGCTGCTGCCTCATCAGGAGGGCCCAGCTGGGGTACGAGTGGGCGGCCGGGTCGGTGCTGGCTGCCTGCACAGCCAGATCCCGCCGCCACTGCGGGCTGTGTCAGTAGCAGAGTCATTTTGCCTGCGGATGTGCTTTTTACCTTTTCATTTCTTCAGCAATTAAGCGTTCTTGTCCCTGGCTTTGTCCTTGGCGGAGGTCGAATTTGTGGGTACAAAACGTTCATTGAAGCATCCTTCCGCTCTGAAAGGGGCTCTTTGTGTGCAGGGAGGTACTTCTCCCTTTGTAGCAAATTTCCTTTTGAGAAGTGCCAAATTATCTTAGTCAACACAGTTGAAAACCCTCCCGCCCTGGGGCTGAGACAGCAGCAGAAACAAAGGGGAGCCGGGTGTAGTGAAGCTGCCCAACAAGGGGGCTTCTTCCCTTTTCACTGCACAAATAGGTCTGCTGCATTCCCATTGTTACAATCAAAGGGGTTCCTGTAAAAGGCACATGTAAGGGGAAGAGATGAGGCATAAATCGCTCCACAGGGCACTGCCCGGCACTCTCTCTGGGTTCACAGAAGTGTCCTCCAGCACATGCAGACCTCTCTTCATCCTGCTTCCAACCATGATCCCTCCAAGCCCTGTGGGACGATGGAGGGAGTGTGCTAGAGTTAATTCCTGCTTTCATCTTGTCAGTGTCCTATGGGTAGGGAGTGCAAACCAGGGATCATCTGTTTTCTGTAGCAGCAATAAATATTCTTCCACTCGGAATAATCCCCGAAACAAGAAGCCCTGATGGTTCCCATAGGGAAGCTTGAGGACAGCCTGAGCTATGGACAGGCCAGCAAGGTGTCCCATGCTGTCCAACTCCTTCAAAGCAAATTGTTGTCAGACATAGGCTCGGGTTTTGTACAAAATACTGGAGCAAGGAAGAGACTGTGGCATGTTTCGATGTTAAATCATTCTTGTTTCAGACAGAAGCTTGCAAAATAATGGTGCAAGGAGTTTGGGGTTTGGGTTTGCTTTTTTTTTTTTTGTAGAATGTTTTGCAAGTAACCTTCATTGAGCAGTCAGATGCTTTTACATGGCCAGCTGTAAAAGTCAGCCTGAAGAGCATTGCTTCCAAGCAGTCCCATTTCTGCATATTCCCTCTATGTAGGGACTCCTGAGGCTTTTCTGAGAAGTTGTTTGAGATGTACTTTCATCTCTGTACTCATGAGATGAAGGCACCAAAAAGATGGTGTCCTACCTGCCTCTGAGTCATAGGTGGCCCTTGGTGTGAAGGGCACTGATGCCTCCTGGGCTTCAGGTTGGTTTCATCTCCAGGGCAAGGATAGAGCTTCAAAGGGAGCAAAATGCAGTAGATCGCTGCCTTCTGCTGTCTCCTGGCACCACTGGATGGGCACAAGGTAGAGACCTGGCTGCAAATGACCAGGAAATGCTCATGCTTGCACGGAAGAGGTGGTGAGGTTTGGGTTTATCTTGGATTAGGAGCTGATGGTTGGCCTGGTCTGTCAGGGTCTTATCTAGCGCTCAGGACTTGGGGTGAAAGGCAGGTCTGGGCACATGTCCCAAACCAAGAGAGCCACCATCATGTAGGGTGCAGTTGGAGGCTGGCACATGGCAAGGGTACAGTACCCTTCAGATAAGCTGTCTTCCAGCCCAGCCTTGGCAGCCTGAGTCCAGGGACTAGCAAGCCAGTCCCAACTCTTTCCCAGCAGCTGAGCCCCCAGGCTCCTGAGAGGGCAGTATTTGCTGGGTGGCCTAGAGGTGCTGCAAGAGGAGCTCCACCAGTGAAGAACTGACACCTCTTTGCCTCCCTGGGGTGTACTCTCTTCCCCCTACTTTGGCACACTTTCCTGCTGCCCTCCCTGCACTCCCCTTCACCTGCAACCATTCCCACAGCAGCCAAAATCCCAGGGGATGCCAGCTGTGCTGTGCCGTGCCATGCAGTGCAGCACTGCAGACAAGATAAGGTGTACAAATGTCTTCACACAAGCTGTTTCCCCCAACAGTTTCCCCTCTTGAGACACTGATTTTTAAGGAGCAGGCAACATTACCATGTAATAAAACTGCCAAGATGTCCCTTAGGGGAGCATCTAGTTGTCTTCTAGGAAGCATCTGTAGGGTGGCCCTCCTCATGCCACCGGTGGAGGAGATGTGTTGGTGTCTCAGGGTCCGCTTGGCTTCTGCACCCAGGATTACAGCTTGAGTATTATGTGTCTGTGACCACCATGGGGACTGGTCCTGGGGTTATCTCTAGGAAGTGGCTGGCCAAAGGGAAGATAAGGGGTCAGCTAGGGGCTAAGATGCTAGAGAAATAGGGCTTCCTATCTGGATATGCCCTAGTGACTTTGGATTTGCCTCTGCAGGCTTGCAAACCTCAGGCTTCTGTCTGGTGGGAGGGGGGAAAAAAAGAGAAAATTATTCTTTTGGTGAAGCACTTAAGAAGTAACAGGAGCTGTCCTGGAAAATCTTAGGAACAATTGAGTTATGAACACCACAGATTGGAGCTAGAGAAAGCTACCCCAAGACCCTTTCTGCACCCCACAGGGATGTGCAGGAGTCATTAAATCCTGCCATTGCGCTGGAGAGGGGATCTGAGCTCATCCACAAGCTGGGGAGTTGAAGCCAAGCACCTGGAGCAGGGGCTGCTGGCTGTGAGTCAGCCTAGCTTTGTCCCTTAAGCAAGACAAGGTGCAGCATCCCTGCCTGGATCCCTTCCTCTGCAGAGTATGGAGATGCTCCAAATCCAGCTCAGGTGTCCATTTTGTCTGTTGTTGAAGGGATCCCCGATGGATTTCTATTAGGCTGGTTGGCTGCATTCCCTGCCACATCGCTTGCTTGGAGGGGCAGCCTCTGCAGCCTGTGTGGGTACAAGGGGAGTTCCTTCTTGCCCAGTGTCCCCCCACACTACCATCTCTTTTAGCGGGCAGGGGGAGGCTGGCGTTGGTCCCATCAGTTTCTGCACTTGCTTTGCTATGTTTCTGGGGTTTTTGCTTTTGTAGTTTTGCTTGGGCTGCAGCAGGGAAGGGAGCAGCAGCTGGAGCAGTCGGAGTTATGGTGTGCAGGCTAACAAATGCGGATCATTAGCTGGAACAAGTTAATGGTTACTGAAGCACATGGAGTTTAGAGCTGGAACAAGTTAACAACAACTCAGTCTGATGCATTAGCAGCTTATGTGTATTATAGCTCAACTATGTTAACAGAAAACATCTGCCCTAGAAGGAGCATTTGCCAGAGAGCACCAGAGGATATGGATGTGTGTCTGTTCACCTCCCTGGGGGACCTCTCCATGCAGTCTCTGTGGGGGCCTGGCTCCCGTACCCATGGCTGTGCTGCATCTGAGCAGCTCCCAGCTGGCCTGGCTGCAGCAGAAGTCTCAGGATAAGGTCTCAGGTTAAGGGTCTTCAGGTAAGGGTACCTTGCCAGTGGCTGGTGTCCTTGCAGCAGGCACTGCTTCTCAAGGATCAACCCTTGGAATCTGTGCTTGGGCAGAGTCTCCTGGTGCAAGGAAAACTCCATCTGCTGTGCTGTGATATGTCAGTGGTGCCAACCTTATGCTCCAGCTTCTCCTCAAGGCCTATGTGATTCATCCATGTGGAAGGCAGGGCAGTCCCTCCTCGGGGGCAGGTAGGGAGGAGAAACTCAGCTGTGGTGAACCTTTCTGAGAGCCTTCTCCAAGTAGGACATGGGAGACCCGCATCTATTCCTGGCCTTGCCACAGGCTACCTGAGAGACCTTGGGCAGGTCATTTTCTTTTTCTGCAAAATGAGAGTTTTACAACATTTGTCTCAGTGCTAAAGAGAGAAGATATTTATGGTAGAGAAGCATCTGCATGTGACACTGAGAAGGGCAACAGCTAGGCAAGGCAAGGTGAAAAGCCACCAGGCTCCTGCTTTTCCTACTTGTGTCTCAAGTGATCTGGGGAGTGAGGATGCCATGGGCAAGTTACTTGTCAGCACATCCGCAGGAGAGCTGACTGCAGTGAGAGAAGCTGGGCTGTGCCAACGGGATGCATGGTGAGGAGCACTGTCAGTAGCCTGGACAGCCTCTCCATTTTTGGTCTTGCACAGAGTCACCTATGCTGTGTCCTTGCTCCTCATGGTGCTGCATGCTGCTGCTTCTCCATGCTGTGGTGTCTTCTGCTCCAGGGCTGGCTCTGCCTCAGGGCAACTGAGTCACCGACCTCGGAATGAGTTTTGAGATTACAGTTGTTGCAGTTGTGAGACATGAAAATAAATGTGAGACATGAGTAAGCCTTTGATGCTGCCTCCTGCAGCTTCCTACTCAAGACAGTTGGGATGAAGCTAGTTAGAAAAGAAAGTGATACCATATGATCTAAAGTATTTTGATAACTGCGTAAAAATTATAATCATGAGGTTATAATAATTATCTGCATGGCCTGCAGTTTGCTGCCAGGTCCTGCTGGCCTGTCGTAAACACGATCTGCCCATGCAAACGTGATAGCCAAGTGCTTTGTCTGTTCCATGAGCACATGTAGAATTCCTGCAAAACCTAAATGGAGTCTTTACTTAAAAAAAAGAAAAAGAAAAAGGCAACAAACCAACAACTAAAACAAACAAAAAAATGGAACCATAAAAAATACCCCCCAAAACCAGCATCCAAGTGTGAGTTGATTCTGAAGTGGATCAGAGAGTACAGCAGTTGGGAAATCATGGTTCTGCTCTTTACTTGGGCCTCAGCCCCTTTGCAGGCAGGAGTGTAACCCAGGGCACAGGAAGAGGGAGGCAACTGGAGGTGTTCACGTCTTTAAGTTACCTCTGGCAGATCTTCCAGAGCTCACCTGTCAAAACCCTGAGTGATAGTTCCTGCTAAGTCACCTAGCTGTAAGTCTAAATGTGTTGTGTCTGATGACTGGGATTGTGGCTCAGATGGTCTTACAGACAGTAACAAGATCTGGGTGGCATCTTCACCTTCCCAGTTGTCTTGTAGGTACCCATCCAGCTCTTGACATCTCTAGAAGCTTTGGCAAGGCTCTGGGAAATCTGTTAAGTGGGTGATGAGCTGATGGGTAGCAGAGGTCAC